TAGGTTTCATAATTGAATGGTTTCCTAGTTAGAAAAGATTTCCTAAAAAGAGGTTTCCTAATTTGGATCTAATTCTTGCGTATAAATAAGAAGGAGATGTTATATGTGAATATCATCAAAGAGAAGTTTCTGCTAGTGAATTACACTATGAAGATATCCGAGTTTTTGTAGCGATTAATTCTTGCGGTAAGAATTTGTGTCAATTCCTTTGTGAGATTGAAAGATTATTTCATGAGAAATTGTAGAGCTAAACACTGCGTGAATTATTAGGTGTAATTGGGGCTTGGGAAACATCGAGAATGTTTAAGTGACTCGAGTGTGGTTGTAATCTCCGTTGTATTGCTTGATCTATAGTGGAATTTCGTGCTGCTCTCCCGAGGATGTAGGTCACTACGACTGAATCACGTAAATCTGATGTCTGATTTATTTTCTTTACTTTGTTTATTTTATTGTTCAATCACTTGGCTTCTGTAACAAGAGGAATGGCCATAATTTCCTCCACAATATGCTCATCGAACAAAACATTCAACAACTGTTGATTTCATTCCATCTTGTTATGGTTAATCAACTCCCCCACTCTTTAAGTTTTCATTGCCAAGTTCATATTTTAATGTGCATTCACTCCCGACAAATTATCATGAAAGATTTAATTAGTCACTATGTTTCTAATATAACGAAAATGAACGAGTATTTGCAAAATTAGAAGAAAAATTACATAAGTTGCAAACTAGGTGTTGCAATATGTAGATGTATAATATAAATTTATAAACCAAAACCTGGGTGTTTGTTTTTATCTTCAATCATTGATAGGGGTAAGGGTTTGCTGAGTTTATTAAGATAGGGTTATTTGTACTAGGGCAACTTGTGTAAACATATCTTCTTTGTATTTCTTAATCATATTAAGAAAACGATACAGTTAATATCAGCTCATTTCTCTTGATCCGCCCTAAAAAGCGGCTTTCTTCCGAAAATGTCTTGCTTAATTACATGTCATATAGTTTTATTTCACGTCGTGCACCATTATGGGTTTGATTTTCGATAACAAATGTTGGGTGACAATGTTAAACTAGTAATTAGATACCTTCCTTACACAACCTTGTCAATTAGTCAACTACGCCAGTACAATGTCACATCCCTCTGGCATGTATAATGCTGTATTCAATGTTTAATCTAATTATATATTTCTCTTTCTTCTTTATCATTTTCTCGGCGGCATTTAATTTGATCAAGTTTACTTTGACTTGCACCCGAGTTTGAACACAGTTGCCCGCATCGCATCGATTCTGGCAAAAGCTGGAGGTTCAGCATATGGAAAACATTATTTTATCCGCTTTGAACACATTTATTCGGGGAAAAAGCATATTAATTAAATACATAATTCATCGGTAGCTGTCATAAAAACTATATAAATTTTCAAAAAAAAATAAAAAAAAATTGGACCGACAGTGATGAGGCAAAACGCCTTGTCTGGTTGACTTAAAATGTGGTCCGATCATGCTCTATAAGAAATAATACTATCACAAGCAAAATTTTCACCAATTATGGCAAACAATCTTCGCCGACACACGTTGACATTCGTTCTTGATATTTAGGAAATATAAAATCCGAAATTCCTCCTTTTCTCTTTTCCCCAGTTATTACATGGGCCTGATTGCTATAAAATTGAAGAAAAACTAGGTTATAATATTGAGGTTGTCTTGGAATTTCCATCTCTAAAAAGCAACTCTCGTGCAATATTCACCAAATGAAATTATAAAACGAGTGAGATACACAGGTGATTTGTATTAAAAATATTTCATGTCGGAGAATTGCTATGGTGTGTAGTAATTAGTATATACCGTAATCGATTCATAATTTATAGATTTAAACTTTTGAGTAATGTTTGGTATAGCTGGATGTGTCGGCAATCCAGACTCTGACTCTTCCGGGGTTGGCCTTCTGCTGCGCTTCCAACAGAATCAAAGCAAAGGAGACTACTAGGCGCACGCAACGAGTGGCTATAATAGTTATTGAATTATAGGGCATCTTCTCTATAATTTGTTATTAGTCTCACCAATGTGTAATTAGCCTTCCCGTAGTCCACCTGATCCATATAAGGCATTCGCTAATACAGTTGCCAAGTACGAAATAATCCTACCAAACTTCAATGGCCTATCTAAATCAGCAATAATGAGCTACCAAACATATAATTATTATTTTCTTTCTTTTTCCTAGGCAAGCAAGCAATCTTAGGCTGCGTTTGGTCGACCGGATAAAAACCAGGATAGGATATGTTTTATCCTATCCTGTGTTTGGTGGTGGTCCAGGATAGGATAATGTAGGATATAGATCGGATATAGCCCGGATAAAAAAATCCGGGGGAGGGGGTGGGATAGACCCGGATAGGATTTCTAATGCCTATTTTTCCAGAAACCCTACACTCTACTCGCCGTCATCTTCATTCCCACACCTTGTGTGCTTTCACCAAAAAAATTTCTCGGCTTTTTTTCCTTCACTGACTCCTTCGGTCCCATGAATAGCAAAAAATAAAAATAAAAATTATCCTATCCGACTTTAAATCCGTAGTCCACCAAACAGTAGACAGGATATGAAGAAATCCCAGGATTTCTTATCCTATCCTATCCAGTCCTATCCTATTTAGAAATCCAAACGACCAAACGCAGCCTTAGTGAATAAACAATAGACGCAATAAGTCCAACGAGACCACTCAAACCCAACGAACCTCTAACTCTTACAAGAAGTTTAACCGCAATGGGGTAACTTAAACAACCGAATGGCGATAACGTGGTAGCATTCCAAGCAAGTTCGAGCGTTGGGATAACGAAAACCTTTCGTCTTTTGTAGCACTTCGAGAACCCCACGAAAGTTGGCTCTTCCTTAGACATGTCAAATGGGTGGATCGGGTTGGATAAAAAATGGTCCGATCCAAATAGACCTATTTAACTCGTCTTGACTCATTTTCACGTAATGTAAATATAATGACTTATATCCGACCTGACCTATATTGTTAAAACACTTCCATATTTAACTCAATTTAGGAAAATTCATACCCAAACTGATATGAGAGTACGAAGTGAGTAAGCGTAAGATTGAGTGAGGGTAAGAGAGATGAGTTGAGTTTAAATAAATTGTAAACCCATTTATAACCCATTTAACACCTATATTCATCCTCTGCACCAAGTCAACAACTCTTCTACTAGTCATGCGACGGCAATGGCAAACTGTTCAACGATCCTTGTCTCTATACCTAGAAGAAGACTAAAGCCCTCAAGCTGGCATACTTTAGTGCGATCTTTACCTATTTGAACAAGTTCTAGCAACCCCATGTTGTATTTTGTCACGATGATTAAGTTATTATCAAGTTGGAAAGCTGTCGAAAGCGACAAAACTCGGGTCAGCATGCAAGGAGGAGCTAAGTCTTCACCAAGACACGTTCATTCACACATTGTCCAATAATGGACTTAAGAACAATAGCCAAATTTGTTGACCTCTCCTATTCACATAACATCTTCTCTCGGGTCATTGCAAAACAAATTCAGAGCACTTGTTACGGGGAAACGAGTCTTCATTTTGCTTTTCCATATTATGGTTTATTAATTCTAGCTTATCCAGCCGTATGACACCCTCACCTACTCTGGGCCGTTTGGTTCGGCTTTTCAAATGCAACTTGGGAGAATACAAATACCTTTAGGTAAAAGCCACTTGGGGAAATGTAAGTGGTGTTTGATAAAAAAAATTTGTGAAGCTACTTTGGCCTAAGTAGTGTTTGGTAAATTTTTTTTTGCAAAGAGCTTTGGTAATTTTTAGTTTTAATATTCCAGTTTTGCCCTATTACTGTTCATCTTCTTCACCGGCGAGGGCAGATATGGTCGGCGAGCGTGGCCGGCGAAGCGCCGGCAAGGTCGCCCGACCCAGGCGACGGCCGCCTGGGGTCGGGCGACCGCCCAGGCGCCGTCGCCCGGGTCGCGCAACCTCAGCGACGTCGGCCATGGTCGCGACCCGGCGGCGGTCGCCGGAGTCGCGCGACCCAAGGCGGTCGCCCGAGTCGCGCGACTCCGCGACAGCCGCCCGGAGGTTGCGCGACCCAGCGACGGCCGCCCGAGGTCGCGACCCAGCCGACGGCGCCCGAGGTCGCGACCTAGCCGACCGTCGCCCGGGTCGCGCGACCCAGCGGCCGTCGCCCTGGGTCGCGCGACCTAGGCCGACCGTCGCTCGGGTCGCGCGACCCAGCGGCCGTCGCCGGGTCGCGACCTCAGCGGCCGTCGCCGGGGTCCCGCGACCTCGGGCGGCCGCGCCGGGTCGCGCGACCCAAGCGACGGCCGCTGGGTCGCGACCCAGCCGATGTCGCCGAGGTCGCGCGGACGGCCGGGCGGTCGCCCGACCCCAGGCGGCCGTCGCCTGGGTCGAGCAACCTCGCTGGCCCTTCGCCGGCCAGATCCGCCCTCGACGGCCGTTCGCTCGCTGGCCACCCTCGCGGTGAAGAAGATGAACAGTAACAGGGGCAGAACCGGAATAAAGAAATTTGAGTGAGGACAATTTGGGAAGGGAAAAATAGGCTTCAGCATTTGTGGAATGCTGAAAGCCCAAAGCTGGTCCGGACCAGCTTTGGGCTTTCAGCATCCCAAATGCTAACTTTCGGCTTTCCGTTTCCCAAATCCTGAACCAAACGGTTCAGCATTTTGGGAAGGGGCTTTCGAGCCCGAAAGCCCCTTTAGCTCGAAAGCCCCTTCCCAAAGCTGAACCAAACGGGACCTCTCTCTTTGAAATGCTCATTCCAGCCAGAACTGAGATCCTTCATGGAAACCCACCAAGCACCAATTTAAAAAGACAGCAACAAATTTGGATTTGGGTGACGTTCATACGAAATTATAATTGCACATACCTTTCCATCTTCCAGCCTGTTGATTGGGTTTCAAAAGAAGAATAGAGTAAATGATTGCGGAGATCACTATATATAAAGGCCTGCACGTAGCCTTCCCTCCCATCACCTACCTCAACAGTTCTCAATTGAGAAGCAAAGTTGAATTCGCCACACCAAAATGAGAAGCCCCAGCCGGTCGAGGCACTGGCCTCGACTATTCCATGCATTGGCATTTTGCCTTATTGCCACATGTGTGTCCGCCGACTATGAGCCTTATATCTATGCGTCGCCATCGCCGCCGCCACCGCCGAAACACATAGAGTATCCTCCTTATCTCTACAAGTCTCCCCCACCACCGAAACACGAAGAGCATCCACCATATCTCTATAAGTCTCCGCCACCGCCCTCACCTTCCCCGCCACCGCCCTATATCTATAAGTCCCCACCGCCGCCGTCTCCTTCACCACCTCCTCCTTATGTGTACAAGTCGCCGCCGCCGCCGTCACCATCTCCTCCACCTCCGTATATCTACAAATCACCTCCCCCACCATCACCTTCACCTCCGCCTCCATATATTTACAAGTCTCCGCCGCCGCCATCTCCTTCCCCGCCTCCTCCATATGTGTATAAGTCACCTCCACCACCTTCGCCATCTCCTCCACCTCCATATGTTTACAAGTCCCCACCGCCACCTTCTCCTTCGCCACCCCCTCCATATGTGTATAAATCACCTCCACCACCATCTCCATCACCTCCACCTCCCTATGTCTACAAATCTCCCCCACCACCATCCCCTTCACCACCACCTCCTTATGTGTATAAATCACCGCCACCACCGTCACCATCACCTCCGCCACCTTATGTCTACAAGTCACCTCCCCCGCCATCCCCTTCACCGCCTCCTCCTTATGTTTACAAATCTCCTCCGCCACCATCACCATCTCCCCCACCCCCGTATGTCTATAAGTCCCCCCCACCGCCTTCACCCTCACCACCTCCTCCGTATGTGTACAAATCACCTCCGCCACCTTCACCATCACCCCCACCTTCATATGTTTATAAGTCTCCTCCTCCCCCATCCCCTTCACCACCTCCTCCTTACATATACAAGTCACCACCACCACCATCACCAGCGCCTCCACCACCTCCACCTCCATATGTCTACAAGTCTCCACCACCACCTTCACCTTCCCCACCTCCTCCATATGTGTATAAGTCACCACCACCACCATCACCATCACCTCCACCTCCTTATGTCTACAAGTCACCACCTCCACCGTCGCCATCACCGCCTCCTCCCTATCTTTACAAGTCTCCACCGCCACCTTCACCATCACCGCCACCACCTTATCTTTACAAGTCACCTCCACCTCCAGTAAAGTCACCACCTCCCCCATACAACTATAAGTCTCCACCTCCACCTTCTCCATCACCACCACCTCCTTATGTTTATAAGTCACCGCCACCACCAGTGAAGTCTCCCCCTCCTCCATACTACTATAAATCTCCACCTCCACCTTCCTCGTCACCACCGCCTCCATATGTCTATAAGTCACCCCCACCTCCAGTGAAGTCACCCCCTCCCCCATACTACTACAAGTCACCGCCTCTACCCTCGCCATCACCACCACCTCCTTATATGTACAAATCACCACCACCTCTGGTGAAATCACCGCCTCCTCCCTATTACTACAAATCTCCACCTCCGCCTTCTCCATCGCCACCACCGCCTTATATTTACAAGTCACCACCACCTCCGGTAAAGTCACCTCCTCCTCCATACTATTACAGTTCTCCTCCGCCTCCCGAGGGCTACTATTAGGCGGCAATTCGATCCCCTCCGAATGCTTAAGGAGCTGGAGCAAGAATAATACCATTCTTTAGCCATACGCTTTACATGGAAGCAATTGTTTTTCATTCGTATCCACGTGTACTTTTCAAATCGATAAGTCCCAAGTGACAATGATTGTATGATTACTTTGAGCAATGAAAGCATGTCTGAATTCGGTTTTAATCCATGTCTTTGTGCTGTCAATTTTGGTTTCTCACTCATTCTGCCTCCCCTTCCCTCATTTTTATTTTCTGTATGTGTGTGTATCTTGTGCTTTGCAACTTTCAACGTTCCCAAAAACAAAAACCCTAGCAAATATCTTTTCGAGGTAGTTTAAAACTGACCAGGGACTGAGTCAACGGATAGCAATCTGACATCTCTTAACATAATGTACGCTGTTATAACCTTCCAGAGAGAGAGAGAGAGAGCGCGAGCTCACAAAAGCAACTAATGATTGCCAAATCAGCGAGATGTCTATGGCCATCAACCCACTAATTCATGGACGTAACAAGAACAGGAAAAGTAGAAATATCGTTTACGGTAAAGTCGATCAATCATGTACACATGAAAGCCAAGAGAGGCAACCTATATATCAATGTAGTATCCAAGTACGCGTAACATTATCGAGACGGAACCATCAGCAAAAAATGGTCATTCCTTTTCCTTAATTGTAGGAGACTAATTTCCTTGTTAATCATAATGCAGAAAGAGAAATGATATAAGTGATGGTCGTTAATCCCCAGTGAGAGTTCCAGGCCGTACTCGGCCACAAATTCTTCAAGGAAACCTGGAAACTTTTGTCGTTTCTACTGTCCTTTTTCCTATTTGTCCGGTTTCTACTATGTCCTACGGGCGTTGCTCAACTAACATAATATGATGTCCAGCTCGAGCTACACCTTCCTTTTATTTGCTCGGTTTTTGGTGCTATGAATTTTTTCTTTCGGAAGTAATATGTCTGAGAATTTAAGCTATTCCGCTTTTCCCCTTAAACCCCATCTACAAACTTGTTATGGGTGAATTCCCTAAAAAATCCCAAATTTTAGGTTAAGTCTCAAATTTGCCTTGATTTTTTTTTTATCTCAGAAAAACCCCAAATTTTAGGTCTAGTCCCAAAATTGTCTCGAAATTTTTTTTGTCTAAAAAAAAACCCCAAACTTTAAGTTCAGTCCCAAATCTGCCCCGGATTTTTGTTGTGTAAAAAAAATCAGCAAATTTCAATTTATTTTCAAAAATATACCGCCGTGATCTAGTCCCAACTTAGCGTGGCACTTCCACGTCAATAAAAAATTCACATTAGCAAAGTAATGAGGCGATAGGTATAGACCGATGTCGCATTTCCACTTCGATAACAAATCCAACCCAATAAAAATTATTGAAATTCTCCAAAATAAAACCATTCTAGGATATGAAACTTAGGAACAGTAACAAATCCACCCAAAAAACTTTTTTTAATTTAAAAAAAAACCTAATTCTTAGGTTCAGTCCAAATTTGCTCCGAACTTTTCTTTGTCTAAAAAAAAGACCAATTATTTTGTTGATGTGGATTTGTTATTGACGTGGACGTACCACGTCAAGTTGGGACTGGATCACGGGGGTATATTTTTGAAAATAAATTGAATTTTGGTAATTTCTTTTACACAAAAAAAATTTCGAGGCAGATTTGGAACTTGACCTAAAGTTGAGGGTTTTTTAGGGAATTATGCCAACTTGTTATACAACCATTGGTGTAAACAATCTCATATGTGATATTGTTTTTTTCGTTTATTTAGAATTTTCAAAAACTAGTTTCTTCTTTAAAATTTTTTGACACGATATAAAAACACACGAAAATTCTGTGATATGCATGTAATCCAAACGTGTCCGTATTTCACCCCTAAAATCTATGGAATTTTGTAATATTCTATTAAATCATATAATTTTTGTGTTTGGAGGCTTTACAAATTGAATAATATTTCAAACATGTCACGAACAGGGGATCACTTATTAATTGGATGCATTATTTATAGGGTTAATTCCAAAAAAAAGCACCAACTTTAGGTCTACGGACAATTCTAGCCCAAACTTTTTTTGTCCTGTAAATAAGCACAAACTTTAGGTTAAGTGACAATTCTGGCCCCAACTTTTTTTTGTCTCATAAAAAATTATCAGCTTTCATCCTGATCCCAAATCTGGCCCCTCGTTGACTTTCTATCTGAAGTCACCCTTGTTTGAGAAAAAAAGGTTATTGTGGTGAGCCTGGTGAATCTCATCCATGGCGTCTATCGACGGGCGGTGGTCTACAGCTTCATATTACGACAAAAGGATAAAGTCTGGCTAGAGAGATTCAATATGGAGATATTTTTTACTTGCCGGTGAAGTGAAGGAGACGAACAGTTTCACCGTTATTCTTCAAGCTATGGCTCAGGGAATAATATAATGAATAGTGCTTTAAATCCAGTCAGCGAGTCACGTGGATTTATTGCTAAGGTGGAATAGTCAACATGGATAATCAATGGTTTTAAGTCAATAGGGACCGGATTTGGGATTTTAATGAAAGTTGGTGCTTTTTTACGAGACAATAAAAAGTTGGGGCCAGAATTGTCACTCGTCCTAAAGTTGGTGCTTTTTTACGGGACAAAAAAAAGTTCGGATCAGAATTGTCCCTCGACCTAAAGTTTATGCTTTTTTACAGGACAAAAAAAAGTTCGGGTCAGAATTGTCCTTCGACCTAAAGTTGGTGTTTTTGTTGGGAATTAACCCATTATTTATAGGCCGCACTTTTTCCACTTTTTATTTGGTTTAGACACTTTTTTTTTGTGTTTTGACCATACTATACCTTGTGTGGCCCACCACTTTTATTACAACTCTACAAAATTAGTAAAAAATATCGTTTTATTTTGTTTCTTCTTTTTTTCCTTGCTTCTTCTTTCTTCCATGCCTTTCACATCTCAGTTCTCAGCTCTTGCAAATTGGTCTCTTTGTTTTTTCTCTTCAGACCATTCTTTTCTTTCTATGCCTCCCTACTTCTCAAGTTGCAGGGCATTGAGACAATGTAGGCTTGCATTCACACTAATAAAGATTGAATTCACAAAGACAAGGTAAACATACATTAGCAACCCAACAAGCCCCCAAAAAAGATCATCCTCCATATCGTTGCCGGTTACGGATCGACCACCTTGGGCTGTCAAGGTCTTGAGACGGATGTCCAGCCACCACATCGTCTTCATCTTGTCTGGAGACAATGAGCTAGACATGTCTGGCAAGTTCTCAGGTTAAGATGATTACATCAACAACACGGTCTTCATGCCCTGCCATGCTAGACAACTAGCGGATGGCAAAGTTGACAGTGCCGAGCGCATCCTCAACCTCCAAACGAGACGCTTCGAGGGGGTACGAATCGACCCGGTTCGGTTCCGAAACATAGCGACTGGGCTATGGGGGTGACTTTGGGAATGGTGGGGCAAAGATGGACAACAGCTTTTTCTAATGAAGTTAAACAACAAGTTGATGCTCTTGAGGAGCTAAACTAGGGACTTCAACCCCACGTGATGGTAGTTTGAAAGCAAAAGAAGTAGGGAAATAGGACTACGTATTGGCAAGAAGACCAGAGATGCTTATAATGGTGGAATGAACATGGAGGATTTCATAGGCAAACCTCACTTGGAAGATCAAGGTTCCATAGATGTTCTTAGCACTTACAATGAAACATTTTGACATGAACTCAAATTCGTGAAATCATAGGTAACTCCAAAGAGAAGAGAATGGCCTACAAGAGAGAAAATAGAGAAAGAGCCGAGAACTGAGATGTAAAAGACATGGAAAGAAAGAAAAGAAGGAAAGTGGAACCCGCAAGCAAAAAAAAGAAGAAACAAAATAAAAGGAGTTGACCAAATAAAAAAAAAGGGACCACTTTTGTAGAGTTGTAATAAAAGTGGTGGGTCATACAAGAAATAGTATAGTCAAAACACAAAAAAGGAGCCTATAGAGGAGGGGAAAAGCGTGACCCATTATTTAATGAGATAAAACATTTTAATTGTGCTCGTGGAAAAGCTTTTTTATACCGCCAATTTCGAAAGTAAAATCCATAAATATATAAAAAAAAATGACTGTAAGGTTGTACGTCAAGTAACACTTATTTACGTGCAATCATAGTCAAAAGAGGCCGATAAAAAGTTTTTTTTTTTTTCACAACCCAACGGTATGGCTTCAAACACCTAGCTACCTAAAGGTCCATGAAATATGTGTAAGTCGATGAACCAGTTAAATACAAACATTTTGGCGTATATAAGTAATTCTGACACAGAACATCTTGTACGTAATTAGAGGGATTTGAATGAATGACTTTCAGTTCTTAAATTGAAAATTTCCCCAAATACACTAACCACGAAGAAGAGAGACTAATTTGTATTACAATGTTTGAATGAAAGTATCACTGTTGATGTGTACGTTGATACATGATGAAACACTAATTGAATGTCCACAGTAGAGGATAGTTACTTCACTTTTTCTATTAATTCCCAAATATCATAGATTCTTGTTTTAGAGTGATATTCAACCTTTTAAAATTGTATTTCAATTTCTCATAGAGCTTTATATTTGGCTTAAATAATATGACTAGATTTATTTCGTTAAATAAAAACCAATGCTCTCTCTCAACAATTTTTTTTTTCCTTTTGATTGCACCATCCATGAAAAATGAAACATGTGATCCAAATTACACCGCTATCAATGAGAAGTAACAGTGCCATTAGGTTAGCAATGTTCAAAAATATCGAATTCGAACTTTTATCGTGTGCGCCGTCGACGACGCAAATGATTACTCAGATCATCACTTGTATTAAACAAACCACTTTAACATTTTTAAAATTGGGGTTTGTCGCCAGCCTAACACCGGCATGGAAAGACCGAAAGGTTTAAAGGCCCTCCTGTACCTATTGAGACATATCTGCTCCTTCATAGACGTCATTTGTCAAATGATTAAACTTAATTAGGTAATAACTATTGTTCTCTTCTCTTTGTTTTTCCTTATTCCTAGGTAAGCAAAGCAATCTTATCGAATAAACGGCAGATGCAAGTCCAAGCAAAAGGCGGATGCACAGCAGCAGTCCGAGCAAGCCCATTGAAACTGCTCATCCTCCTCTCCAATGAGTCGTCAGCTTTTTCTACTGATCATGCAACGACAACGACGAACCGTTCAATGACCCTTCTCTGTATTCAGAAGCCTAAGCACTCGAAATGGAATACTTCGGTACGATCCTCATCTATGCGGACTAATTCTAAGAGAACCCACGTTGTGTTTCTCATGACTAGAAGACATTATCATGTCTGAGAGTTGTCGAACACGACGCTTCTCTGCGCCAGAACTCGGCCCAACATGCAAGGTGGAGCTAAGCCTTCACTTGGACAGATTCATACACACTACACACATCGTCCAATTGCCTAATAACAATGGCCATCTCAGTTGACTCTCACGACGTTTCCTATTCAACATCACATTATTTTTCTTGTGTCATCGTGAGATGAATTCAGAATACTTTTGTGGGGAAACGCGTCTTCATTTGGTTTTCAATGTTAGTCTTATTAATTTTTAATTCATCCAGCCATAATAAGGCACCTCACCTACTCTCTCTCTCTCTCTCGCACTCATTCTTTGACTTGCTCATTTTGGCCATTCGAGATGGCGCAGGACTGAGTCCCCTTCATGGGAAGCCACCAAGCACCAATTGAAAATGACAATAACAGATTGGGATTTGGTCAGATTTTATAAGATATCATAGATTTACGTGGTTTTTCCCTGTTCCAGCCTGTTGATTGGGTTTCAAAAGAAATAAATAATCACCGCTAGTGATTGTGGAGTTCACTATATAAAGGCTTGCACATCGCCTTCCCATTCATCACCTTCTCAACAGTTCTCATTCGGAAGCAAGGTTGAGTTTGCCACCCCCAATGAGTAGCCAAAGCCGGTCGAGGCACTGGCCTCGGCTATTCCATGCATTGGCATTTTGCCTCATTGCCACATGTGTGTTGGCCGATTATGAGCCTTATACCTACGCATCGCCCCCTCCCCCGCCGCAGAAACATGTAGAGCTTCCTCCTTATCTCTATTTGTCTCCGCCACCGCCGAAACATGAAAAGTATCCGCCTTATCTCTATAAGTCTCCGCCACCCCCGTATGTCTATAAGTCCCCGCCACCGCCTTCACCCTCACCACCTCCTCCATATGTGTACAAATCACCTCCACCACCTTCACCATCACCCCCACCTCCATATGTTTATAAGTCTCCTCCTCCACCATCCCCTTCACCTCCTCCTCCTTACATATACAAATCACCACCACCACCATCACCATCACCTCCACCTCCCTATGTATACAAGTCCCCGCCACCACCTTCGCCTTCCCCACCTCCTCCTTACGTGTACAAGTCTCCACCACCTCCGTCCCCGTCACCTCCACCTCCTTATATCTACAAGTCCCCGCCACCACCTTCTCCTTCCCCACCTCCTCCTTACGTGTATAAGTCACCACCATCATTGCCATCACCCCCACCTCCCTATGTCTACAAGTCTCCTCCTCCACCATCCCCTTCACCACCTCCTCCTTACATATACAAGTCACCACCACCACCATCACCATCACCTCCACCTCCCTATGTCTACAAGTCCCCGCCACCACCTCCTCCTTCTCCACCTTCTCCTTACGTGTATAAGTCGCCGCCGCCGCCATCACCATCACCTCCACCTCCCTATGTCTACAAGTCACCTCCGCCACCATCCCCTTCACCACCTCCTCTATACTTGTATAAATCACCACCACCTCCATCTCCATCGCCTCCACCTCCATATATCTACAAGTCTCCCCCACCACCTTCACCATCACCACCACCACCTTATGTTTACAAGTCACCACCACCTCCAGTAAAGTCACCGCCGCCCCCATACTACTATAAATCTCCACCTCCACCTTCCCCATCACCACCACCTCCTTATATCTATAAGTCACCGCCACCTCCGGTGAAATCACCGCCTCCTCCCTACTACTACCAATCTCCACCCCCACCTTCTCCTTCACCACCCCCACCTTATGTTTACAATTCACCACCACCTCCAGTAAAGTTGCCTCCCCCTTCGTACTACTATAACTCGCTGCCGCCGCCTTCACATTCTCCACCTCCTCCTCAATACTACTACAAATCTCCTCCGCCTCCCCGGGGCTACTATTAGGTGGCGATTTGGTCCCCTTAGAGTGCCTAAGAAGCTGGAGCAAGAATAATACCATTCTTTGGCGATACACGAGTGCCTAAGAAGCTAGAGCAAGAATAATACCATTCTTTGGCGATACACTTTACTTGGAAGCAATTATTTTTCATTCTTATACAAATGTACTTTTCAATTTGATAAGTCCCGAGTGACAATGATTGTATGATTAATTCGAGTAATGAAAGCATATCTGAGTTCAGTTTTTATCCATGTCTTTAAGCTGTTAATTCTGGTTTCTCGTTCATTCTTCCCTCCTCTTCCCTCCTTACTATTTTCTATATGTATGCGGACCCTGTGCTTTGCAACTTTCAACGTTCCCAAAAACAAAAAGAAACCCTAGAAATAGCTTTTCGAGTTAGTTTAGAACTGATCGAGGACTGAGTCAAATGCTAGAAATCTAACCTATTAATACTCTATGATAAAAATAAAAATAAAAACCTATTTATACTCATATGTGCACGCTTTGCACGAAGATGCACAATTTGGGGACCCTCTCATAACTTTCCAGAGTTGGAGCTCACACAAGCAACAAATACTTGCCTTATTAGCAAGATGTCTATGGCCATAAACCCACTAATTCATTGGCGTAACAAGTACATGAAAAATAGAAATATGGTTTAAAGTAAAGTCCACAGCGCATGCTCCCATGAAAGCCAAGAGAGGCAAGCCCTTTCTCAGCATAGCGCAAGTAACATATCAAAGGGAACCGCCAACAAAATTGGTCATTCATTTTCCCCGTTGGGAGAAGAATTCCCTCGTTATGATTAACGCAGAAATATCAAATACGGACTCTCATTGCGTGCGGCATTGGTGCAAACGATTATTCACGTCATCGCGGGGAAAAGTGCCAAAAAAGTCATAAACCTTTTATATTAGTGTCAATTTAGTCCTAAACCTTTTTTTGGTGCCAATTCAGTCCTAAACCTTTTGCATTTGTGCCAATTTAGTCCTAAACCTTTTGTTTTTGTGCCAATTTAGTCCTTCCGGCCAATTTTGACCGGAATTTGCCGATGTGGACGCCTGCCGGCCGACGGCCGGTCACCGGCATCGACATGGCACCGACGTGGACAACTTTAATAATATTTTAATATTTTTTAAATTTTTATTTTTTTCCTTTTTTTTCTTTTTTCTTCCACTTTTTTTTTTTGGTCCCTCCCTCCTTCCTCTGGCTGGTCGCCGATCCGGCGACTGGCCACTGGTGAGGGCGAGCCTCGCCTTGGTCGGGCGAGGCTTGACCTTGCCAAATCCGGCGAGGTCGGGCCTCACCGGATCTGGCAAGGTCGAGCCTCGCCCGGCCGACCTCGTCGGATCCGGCGAGGTCGGGCCTCGCCCGACCATGGCGAGGCTCGCCCTCGCCGCGGCCTCCGGCGAGGGCTTGAGCCTCGCCATGGTGGGGCGAGGCCCGACCTTGCAGAATCTGGCAAGTTCGAGCCTCGACCAGCAACCTTGCCAGATCCGGCGAGGTCGGGCCTCACCCGACCATGGCGAGGCCCGCCCTCGCCGCGGCTTCCGGCGAGGGCTCGAGCCTCGCTCGACCAAGGCGAGGCTCGCCGTCGCCGGGCGAGGCCGCCCTCACCAGTGGCCGGCGAGGTCGAGCTCGCCGGCCTCTGGCCTCTGGCCGGTCGCCGGGACCGGCGACCGGCCAGAGGAAGGAGGGAGAGAACAAAAAAAAAAGGAAAAAAATAAAAATTCAAAAAAATATTAAAATATTATTAAAGTTATCCACATCGGCGCCACATCAGCGCCGGTGACCGGCTGCCGGCCGGCAGGCGTCCACATCGACAAATTCCGGTCAAAATTGACCAGAAGGACTAAATTGGCATAAAAATAAAAGGTTTAGGACTGAATTGGCATCAATTTAAAAGGTTTATGACTTAATTGGCACCAAAAAAAAGTTTATGACTAAATTGGCACAAATGTAAAAGGTTTAGGACTGAATTGGCGTCAAAAAAAGGTTTAAGATTAAATTGGCACTAATGCAAAAGGTTTAGGACTTTTTTTGCACTTTTCCCCATCATCGCGCCTATTAAACGATCACTTCTTTATGTTTTGTTTTTAAATTCATGCTCGTGGCCGCGGATGGAAAGACCAAAAAGGTTTGAGGCCCTCCCGAGGCATATCTGCTCCATAGGCATCGTTTGTCAAACGAAGGTACTTAATTAGGTATAACCATTTCCATGTGTAATATTCGTCCTATCTAGTGGAAAGTCGTTAGGGGAAAAGGAAGTTTCGATCTTTTGTTGGACTGTCCAATCAAATGAACAAAAATCAACGCCTTGATTTTGATAGTTAATTCGGATGGGGAGGGGAGTTGCCCCGAAGCCATCGCGCTTCCACCTTCCCAAGTAATTGGTTCAACCGATTTAAAGTCTAAGTCGCCATCCGTGGCTATGACTTAGACTTTTAAACTGTAGTCCTTAATGGCGGTCCAAGTGATCATACGAAGAGACCCTCTTTTTCATTAGGAGCGAATTTCTTTTCGATCGCCTTTTTCCGCAATAAAGAAGAAGTTCGCTTTAGGTAGGTAAATATCAAACCCGAGAAGCAACCCACCGACCCAGTGAGCTGTTTAAGACATAAGTCGAAATTGAATCCGGATCGTTAATTAATAATGTGGTGGGGAGAGATTAGAGACTTCATAATTAGCGGGCTGTGCATATCCTTCCTTCGTGATTTACATAGAAATCTCTTCGCAATTAATCCTTTTTCGAAAATCAGTACCAGTTCTTTTCTTTTGGCAGAGTATACTTATGAGTTTGGTGATGCACAATGTAGAGCTGTTCTTAGCCAAGGTTAAAAAAAAAAGTACGGAAAAAAATTATGTGTCAGAAGTGGGATTTGAACCCACGCCCTCTTTCGAGGACCAGAACTTGAGTCTGGCGCCTTAGACCACTCGGCCATCCTGACCGGTTCTTACCTATTCTATTCTTAATTATTACGTATTTCTTAAGTCGCATGCATACGTGGAAGCCTGGAACTGACCGTTACGGAAGATATTTGTAATTAAACAGATGTGGATGTCTAATTTACAACATAACTTATTGGTTGGATAGGCTTAGCATAAAGTCTTCGATGACGACGCTCAAACTCTTTGCTCTCTCACCTTCTGTGTCCCTTACGAGAAAGGAAGTTATGCTAAATCGACAATATGATCTAATGGGAAGAGAAGAAGGAACTTCTTATAGTTAGATTAATTACCATAGTCTGCAATTTATTCGTGCGGCATCATGATATTTTCCCTTTGTTTCTGAAGCTGCCAAAGTGATACAAGTCTAGAGGTCTGGTTTTCTTTGCATTGATCTCATGTCCCAACTCAAGAATTCAAGTCTGGGAGTAGTTAGGGTTTTGCGGTGGAGGGTTCTTCCTTACTTCATTAAGGGGAGATTACTCATACATACAACAAAGTCCGTCGTCAACGTGTATGTGCGAAGACATCACTGTTTGACCTTAGAGACACTAAGTTCAATTGAAGAATTATTAAAATAATTTGATTCGTGAGCCATTGTCAGAATCTCTCTTTCAATGTAAAGCAGTTTTCTACCTCAACCCCCTCAAAGTCTGACATGATAACGCAACTTCCATTTCTTATTCATTGATTTTTTCAGTAAGCTGTGTAGACAAGGAAAGCCATGCATAGATAAAAAAACAAATGAGACGAGGAAATCGGTTACATAGTCGTGTCTCTACGTGTAAACAAATATAGCGAGACTAAAGTTCAACAAAACACATTTATGGCGTAATGGAAATATCCAAGCAATGCTCGTCTTCGGACTTTATTGAATTCATAGCAGACAGATTGCACCTGCAACAACAAAGGGTAGCAACATCAGTTCGCGTTATAATCTCTTTGGAATTCCGACAAAGATCAGCAACAAAAGAACGAGAGAAATATGGATTATAATCTTTTCTTTAATTGGCTTACTTACATGAACAAAGGTGCATAGAAACAGGTCGGTCTAATAGACCGGGGGAGGTGGAGGAGAGGTGTAGTGGTATGGAGGAGGCGGCGGAGACTTGTAGACATAAGGAGGCGGGGGCGGCGATTTGTACATGTAAGGCGGTGGAGGTGGAGACTTGTAGACATAGGGTGGAGGTGGTGGAGACTTGTACATGTAAGGCGGTGGAGGTGGAGACTTGTAGACATAGGGTGGAGGTGGTGGAGACTTGTACACATAAGGCGGCGGCGGTGGCGATTTATACATGTAAGGCGGTGGAGGTGGAGACTTGTAGACATAGGGTGGAGGTGGTGGAGACTTGTAAACATAAGGCGGCGGTGGTGGCGATTTATACATGTAAGGCGGTGGAGGTGGAGACTTGTAGACATAGGGTGGAGGTGGTGGAGATTTGTATTCATATGGAGGTGGTGGTGGGGACTTGTATACATAAGGTGGTGGCGGAGGCGACTTGTACATATAGGGTGGAGGAGGTGGGGACTTGTAGACATATGGAGGCGGCGGCGGGGACTTGTAGACGTAAGGGGGAGGGGGTGGAGATTTGTAAATGTACGGCGGAGGAGGTGGGGACTTGTAGACATATGGAGGCGGCGGTGGGGACTTGTAGACGTAAGGAGGCGGCGGTGGAGACTTGTACATATAAGGAGGAGGCGGTGGAGATTTGTAAATGTACGGCGGAGGAGGTGGAGACTCATAGATATAAGGAGGTGGAGGCGGTGACTTGTAAACATAAGGCGGCGAAGGCTCGTCGTCGGCCGCCACCACCACCACTTCAGTGGCTATCAAGCATATTGCCAATGCATAGAGAAGGCGTGGCCAAAAATTGGCCATTTTAGCTCCCCCCCACCAACTTACTTAGGGGACTACCAAATCTAGCTCTTATTATCTTCAAACGTAGCTAAAAGGGTATTTGTGAGTTTGTCTCCTCAAGATGTCTCGCTTTATATAGCCATCCGCTCAATCAGTAAATCAATTTTTTAATAAACCAAGAAACTTCCAACATGCAACTAATTCTAATAGAATAAACACAAATTGGCTCGTTACTGTATTTCCCAGGCCATACTGAGTATAATATTAAACAATGAAGCAATCATTTTCATTGATCATTACATGTACTGGTTGAACAAGTCAAAGGATGAATGCTCCAACAACTTTTCTATAATAATTAGCACACCTAACTCCGAGAGTTTACCAAATGTATAGTAGACTAATGATGGGGAAGGTGAGAATTGAGGATATGCTTTGAAAATGTCAGAATGTACTTGGGGACGAGGCACATCCTGCATTAATATTCTTATCTCGTGCATATTCTATACTTCATTTGCTTCAGCAACCGTAGACTTTGCTAACTAATTCTTGATTTATGCAGCGGCAATCGTTGGCTAATCATTGTCACTGATGAGCCTCATATTCAACAACGTAATCGTCATACGGCGTTTTGCGCAAGTTTTACGCTGTCCACCGGTGCGGCTCGTGGTTGACATGTCCACGGAGTTCGGGATGCAAAACTTCAGTGGCCGATGCTGCGTTTGAGAATGGAAGACATTCTCGCTTCCGTTGTGCCAATACATGTGATGCCTTGACCTGTTCATGTTCAACGAAGCTAACTGTGGCAGAAGCAGGTAGGTATTTTTATCTGCATATATATCGTGCTTGCGTAATGAAGACAGGTTCAAAAGCATATTTTCTCTGTTTCTTGCAACACAATCCCAGTGGCAATTAATAATTTGGTATGACAACAGCACAATTTTAGCCGTCGATCGCGAGGTTTTTCTTTTCGTCTGCCAGTGGAGTGTCTTCTGTGGAGATTAAAGAACAGGTCAAAGCAAGCGTCAGATGTTCCAATGGCCGCTCACTTAAGATTCCAGGGACAAGTTTAAGGACAAAGGACGTACAGCAATCCTTTCCTCCCACTTCGCCATTTTGTACTTTTAACCCGAGGATGCCACAAAATGACGTTAACACTTAGGGAAAATTGTCGGAAAAGTCCTAAACTTTTTGAATTGGTGTCAATTTAGCCTTAAATATTTTTTTGTGCCAATTCAGTCTTAAACATTTTGTCTTTGTGCCAATTCAGTCCTTCCGGCTAATTTTGACCGGCTTTTGCTGACGTGGACGCCGGCCGACTTACGTGACATCACCGGCGATGACGTGAATAACTTTTAATAATATTTTCCGAATTTTGTAATATTTTTTTCTTTTCCTTTCTTCTTCCTCCGGCCAGTTGCCGGTCCGGCGGCCCCCGCCGGCCGCTGGCGAAGGTGACCGCGAGGTTGCGGCCTCTACCAATGGTTGGGCGAGGCATGACCTCGCCAGATCTGGCAAGGTCGGGCCTCGCCCATGGCCGACGGGGCTTGACCTTCGCCAGCCCAGGCAAGGCCGCCCTCGCGACCATCTGGCGAGGTCGAATGGCCGCGAGGGCGGCCTCGCACTGGGCTGGCAAGGGTCGAGCCCCGCCGGCCATGGGCGAGGCCCAACCTCACCAGATCCGGCAAGGTCGTGCCTCGCCCAGCCGTTAGCGAGGGCTTGAGCCTTTGCTAGTGGCTGCGAGGTCGTGGGCAAGCCTAGCCAGAGGCCGGCGACCAGCTGGACGAAGAAAAAAGGAAAATAAAATAAAAATAAAATAAAATATTAAAAAATTTGAAAATTATTAAAATATTATTAAAACTTATCCACGTCATCGCCGGCGATGCCACGTAAGCCGGCCGGCATCCACGTCAGCAAAATCAGGTCAAATTAGCCGGAAGGACTGAATTGGCACAAAAATAAAAGGTTTAGGACTAAATTGGCCCCAACACAAAATGTTTAGGACTTTTTCAACACTTTTCCCTTAATACTTAAGTTCGTTATTCGCTAGAGCACAGTTAAAAGAAGTTCAGTTATGAACTTTGCAGGAATTGGCAAATTAACCTACAGAAATTGCAATCAGCCGAGACTTTGCAAGCTCTTACTAGGCTATAAGTTAGCTCTGGTTAGACTAATGGCATTTCATTTTTGCTAAGTAAATCTGTCGTTTTTATCTGTTAAAGTCAAGATAAAGGAGGATCCTTGCTTGCAGATATATCAAGGATTCTCTGAACATTTCTCTTGACTAATCTACTTTCTTCCATGTATAATTCATGGGGTTCTGGCCTTTTCTTCCTAACTCCGTTTGAAAACTCAGCATTTCGTCGTCGTGTTCTGCAGATGTCCTACGACACGTTACGATGATATATTTGGTTTTCTTTGTCCAAGTTCTTCTGGTCGACTTGTTCTTTGCATGACCTTGCTTGATCTGCATTGACAAATTCCGCTTAACTTTTCACGTTATCGCTGGAAAAGCAACCTGGTTCTTTGAAAATTATCTAGCACATGTTGAGAAAACCTTCTAACTAGTTTTAAAGTTGACAAAACATCCATGTGGTTCTTTAAAGTCTGATAAATGCCTTTAAGCTTTGGCGATTCAGGAATTAATCTTTAAAGAGACCTTGTTCAGACTCAACTCTAATTCTGTCTGGATATCGTGATTTATAGACTGTTATTTCGTGGATGTCATTTGTATGGATATCATCAATAGCAACAGATGGATATCAAAAGAATCATGCATGGATATATTGTTTTGCAACAATTTAAAATACAAAACATCTTGATTGATTGGCAATCAATCTCGAGATAAGTAACCTTCTAAATTGAAGAACTCTACGTATGGAAACTGAAGACTTTGGTTGTATGGGCGACTAGAATCAACGGAGATTCAAACTTTGTCCCTCAACGCCTGCTCAATCTTCTTCATAAAGTTCTCTCCAACAAGTACATTGGAAGACAATCCTATAAATACAGTCCAACCGGAAGATTGGAAGTAGAGGAGTATAAAAGGAAATCAAGGTGCCAATGAGAAGAGAGACGAGATCAGGATAAAAAATTCCAAAGCAAGAGAACTTCATCCTTTATTTTCGGGTATATGTTCATTAGAAGTCCTAATACTTGTCACCAAAGTGCAATTGAGTTCTAAAACTTGCAAAAAGTGCAATCAAGTTTTAAAATTTGTCAACTTGGTTCAATTGAGTCCTAAAGTTAACACCATCAAATTGTTTAGCGGAAAATGCTGACGTGGCATATTTAAATCAATTTCTCTCTCCTACTTGGCATTTATTATTATTTTCTCATTCAAATCTTATTTAAATTAAATAAAAAAACTAAAAAAAGCTTAATTTTTATTTACAAAAACAATAATGAAAAAGAAAAAGAAAAAGAAAGGGGGACCTTACCGGTAGGGCGCTGCCACTTTTGCTGCCGCTGCCGCCCATCACCGACCCTGGGTGAGGGCAGCCGGCGCTCGCCGGCCCCGGGCAAGGGCCGACGACCTTCTCTAGGCCCGAGAGAGGCTCGCCTAGATCTGGGCAAATCCGGCCGTCGCTCAGGCCGACGAGGCCTAGCGAGCATCACTGGCCCTTGCTTGGGGCCGGCGAGGCCTCGCCTAGGGCAGGCAAGGCTCACCAGGCCCTGGTGAGGGCGGGCGGCGCCCAGATCTGGGCGAGCCGCGCTAGCCCCATGCAAGGGCCGGCATCGCCTAGATCTAGACACCTCAACCTAGATCTAGGCGAGCCTCACCGGCCTAGGCCTCGCCCAAGGCCGGCGATGGGCGGCGGTGGCAGCACCTATCGGCGAGGCCTTCTCTTATTTTTTCCACTATTATTTTTTTAATTAAAATTTTAGCTTTCTTTACTTTTTTAATCTAATTTAAATAATATTTAGAGAATAATAATAATAATAATAAATGCCACGTAGGATAGAAAAATTGATTTAAATATGCCACGTTAGTATTTTCCATTAGACAAATTGGCAATGTTAACTTTAGGACTCGATTACACCAACTTGATAAATTTTAGAACTTGATTGCACTTTTTGCAAGTTTTAGGACTCAATTGCACTTTGTTAACAAGTTTTAATACTTATAGTAGACATATCCCTTATTGTTGTGAGCTGAAATTGTTATCTTTGAGAGGAATTGTAAGAGTGATAGTGTGAGTTAGAGAGATCAATCAAACACACTTGAGAAGTGAACACTCAGACTTTGTATCCTCTTATTGATCGACTAGTGAAATCTTGCCAATAGATTGTCAGAGTGGGAGAGTAAACACAGGTTTGATTTAAACCGAATCACTATAAACTATGTGTGCAAATTATCTCATCTCAAAACTCTTATTGATTATTTTATTATATATCTTTGCACATTGATAAATTGCATTAAACTCTTGTCGATATTCAGACTCTGACATTTACATATTGATCAATATCACCAAACTACTGGTGCTGATCAGACTCTAATTTTGAATACTTTACTTCAGCTTGAAATTTGTCAAGATTAGTTAAAATCGCATATTCACCCCCTCTAGGTGATATTGCTAGCTCCATCCTTATCATACTCAAAATTGCATTAGGAACGGGTTAGAGTCATGGTACCATATAGCCCCAGATTATTTCTTTACCATCAGCGCGATGATCTCTAGCAGTGTACAGCGTCAGAGTGTCGGACCATTTGCCGAGTGAAGTAAGTAAATAGTCCGATTATCACTCCTGACCTGAGTCTTCCAACTTTCCATTAAACAATCATGTTTGTAATGTCAGCTGATAACGAAATATACTAGCAACTCTATGCTGTGTGGTTGAGAGCCATGACCGCCACCGGTTTTGACAGGAAAAGATGGAGGGGGGAATAAAGAAAGACTTGCCAAGACAAGGAAAATGCAAAAATTAGCGATGAAGAGCAAGAACTCTTTGAATGATTCACCTGAAAAAGCGAGAAATTGACAAACTTGGATCTGGGGAAGGATATTCCCGGTTAAATAAGGTAATACCACTTGACAAGTGTATGATTCAGTCAAATAAGAATAAAAACAGATCAGAACCTTCTGATGAACACATA